TCGGGGAGGTATGAGAGAGTCTCAAACTTCTTCTTTCCAAGTGGAGGCCACACCTATACTCCCAAAAATTTGATTCAATTCATGTAATGTCTATTCTAATTTAAGTGGTAATTAGCATAAGCCACATAGTGTGACCAAGTACCTGCATGCATTGCACTCTGCCACCGTTGCTTGCAATGGAAGTAATGTCGTTGTTGGCCTTTCTAGTGACTGGGAAAGCGGAGGCAGACTTGAGGCCGGTGAAGGGGGCGACCATGTTGGCCTGAGCCGGGGAGGAGCGGTTGACGGTGGCAATGGTTGCCGATGAGATCATTGAGGAAGACATTGCAGATACTGCTTGCTAGTAGTATATGCTAGAGTTGTACAAAAGTCTCAGGAATTCCTTAGGAGTGTTATTGCCACTGCTGCAGTAGCCTTTATATAGCGATAAAATTTGGCTCCCATTTCCTGAGGTCACGAAATGATGAGATGGACTTGGGAGAAAAGGTGACCACTGGATTCAAAATCTGATAACATTACAACATAACGACCGCAAGAGATGGAAAAAAGTTTTGAACGGTAAACCTTATCTTTGGCAACCTGCCACGTGGAAGAAGCACAATGATCTTATCTCATCTCATCCAATGGGATCCCAGAATGAGTGATCTCTTCTTTTGGATTCAAATAAAAATCGGTACGGTCCCATTTGGAGGTTTGCCCTTGGAACAAACGTATGACCATACCTTGTTTGCTTGGCCATCCTCTCCTTTTATGTTTTACTGCCCTTATCTTCAAATCTAGTAACTTTGGTAATGAAGTGTTACCTATGTCATGTGATTTTACAGGGATGACATTGTTAGAATGAGAAGACAATACTTTTAAGCCATAATTTGATAGGGATGTAATTTCTAACACACTTTTATAGGGATGAAATTGAAGAAGAAAACCAAGATATTCTTTTGGAATCTAGTACAGGTGATTTATCATAAGAGCCTTGAACAGATGTTTAATCATGGAGAAATGATTAGTTTTGAGGAGAACGGGTGGTATCTGCAATTAATGCCAAAGTTGCTGCTCTGGCAATCCTTCTTCACATACAATAATGAGATGATTGGAGTCCATATCTTTTCTCATCATTATTAACTGCAACTAAAATATCAAACCTTCTTTTAGAATTCCAATTTCAGAGAGAATGCCATGAAGAACCCAGCTGATATGAACAAACAACAGTGAACCTTTTGATAAATGAAATGCATTTTATGGTCAAATTATATTATTGAGAAAATGCATCAGTAAAATAATATTTTATTATCACTGAAAATATATATCAACAAGATGGTAGATGAAGGTGATGACATACCAATCTTGGACCTCAAACTCAAATAATCAGCCGCATAAGTGATGCTAAAATATCTCCTTTTTCATTCCTTATCGTACCTTTCCTATGTACAGCTATTCCACCATTGAAGATTCGAAGTAATGATCCATGTCTCCAAAATTCCTTAACATGTAGGAATGCATTATTAATATCCAGTTGGCAATGCATTATTAGTAACGCCAAAGTTATATTTCAACTTAATCATTACACCGTTACATTATTGCAAACTTATGGTCTGCTTTTAGGTAATTTTATCAAATATATAAATTGTCTGGCTTAATGGATCATTTGATGAACTTGAAGCATCGAGCTCTCAGGTAGAATATCTTGATGAGTGATCGAATTTGTATATATTTTATTGATAACTATTTTTTGTTGTTGAATTGATATAAGGGTTATATTCTGTTTTGATTTATTTTTGTGATGTAACTTTTTTTCTAGAACCAGCAGTAGGGTGAATTCTACAATTTTTATTTTCTAGAATCGTAGCTGGAGCCATGGGTATTACCTGGGGCACGACAAATTCCGAAGCGGTAGAATTTGACGATCCAGTCAATAGCAGCTTCTAGAAGACAGTCCAGTCAGCATATTCTAAAAGGTAGAAGGACGAAATTATCAAATAAAATTCAAGTTTAAATTTCGAAATAAATACTTTGGATAAATTTTTGGATTATTATTAGGATATTTTATTTTGAATATTTCTTTTATTCCTAGGATATTTTATCTCTTATAAATTCTCCAAGCTATAAAACCCCCCTAAGGTAAAGCAGCTTGAGAATGTACTTTTTGATTTATTAAATTCTCTCGGGGTTATTTTATAAAAGTTCTTTTCTATCTTTCATATTTTATTTTTACTTTATTTTTATTTTTTTTTTTCAAAATTCTATGTATGATCTCAATCATGCTTAGCTAAACTTTCATTTAGTCAAAGGCTTTTGCGATGATTCAATTTCTATTGTGAAAATTGAAAAACACTTAATATTTTTATATAACATTCTTGATTTTTTTGAAAATTTGGATTAGCAATAGGCCATTCATTTTATAATCTCAACACCTTCACTTCAAAAAGTCAGCATTGATTTGAGTAGTGTTTTTATTTACAGTTTGGGAGTCGGATCGATTGGTCGTAGTTCAACTTCCTATGAACAAACTTAGTGACGGTCCGCTAAGGTGAATCGAGAAAGGGTTCGATTCTCAGTGAGACACCATAATTCGAGTCGAGCTTTTCCAGCACTTAAAGTTGTATTGGTGTTAACGGTGATAGTCATGGTTAGCCCAATAAGGATTGAATTCTAGAGATAAACTTGAGAATATCGGTTTATCGGAGAGAAAAGTTAGTCGCAAGAATTAGACTTTGTAGACTGTAATCAACGTGTATTCGAAAGTAAAATATGTTTTTGATGAGCAATTGGGAATTGACGCTAAGAGAAGCTAGAGGCTATTTTCATCTCATCTATTCTTTCCTAAATTTATTTTATTTCATTTTACTATTTATTTTCGATTTTTACTCTCTTAATTAAAACCCAATTTTACTATTTTTTGTTAAATCAAGATCATAACATATCAACATTATCAACTTTCTTAGTCCTACGAATTGATCCTTTTTTTTTATACTATTCTTATTTATTTATTTGATAAATAAAAATTAATTTATTTGACAATTCCGATAATTGTAAAATATGTTATGTGTTGAACATTATGACTCAATAAATCAATGTATATTATGGTCGTCAACAGGCTTTCCATTCTTCCTCATGGTTTGGATCTTTGGGCCACTGATTGCTTTCTTGTGCTCCCTCGCTATGGTCCATGTACTTTACAACCTTCCCTTTGTATTTGGGTTTAACAGGCTGCTAGCCTTGAGGAAGCATGATCAGCTCAGTGGATGTAGGGACCGTGTTGAGTCAGAGTCACTGTAACCGTCATCATTATTATCGCATATATTTTAGTTTTAGTAACATAAGATGTATACAAGATTTTATATTAGAAGATTAATTTTAAAAATTTTAAAATTAAAAATATATTATCAATAAAAATTTAAATTATATAAAAAAATTTAATTTTTTATTAAGCTAAGATGATTACAAAGTAGTATATATTTAAATTCTCTCAATCATTTGACAATGAACGTTTAATCACCCTACTATAGTTACTGATATTCGAACCCGTGACATCTAAAAATAATAATGATTCCTCTAATCATTTTATTAATAATTTAATGATTAATTATATATTTTATCATTTTTGTATTTATTTTTTTGATAAAATTATTTTTATGTTTATAAGTTCATAGTAATACTTCAATTTGAATGGTCATAATAAACGACTATCGTAAAATTTATTAATTTCATACATTATGAATGTTTAAGTCATTTTTATAATAATTTAATTAATTTTAATAAGTAAACATATTTTTATTTTAAAAAATAAATTATTTTAAAATAAAATGTTTTACTTATTCATAATCATATGTATACGTCCTGCCTTAAAATTACTTTGTATTTTTTGCCAAGCACGGACCAAAGAAAACAGGTGTCACTCTCAACTCACGTTATAATTAAAACATCACTTATAACAAGCGTTTAAATAAAACAATTTCCTTAATCCACTATATTAGAAGATAAGCACGAGCTTGTAGTTCTTTTCCCACATTCAAAACCGTTGGCTGATGGGAGGTTCATAGCGCGCCCACGGTCCCATCCTCCCAATCCCGGAAACCAGCCACCGGTTTTCGCTTAAAAGCGGTTTTGAACTAACACCAACTTCCCGAAAACCAGGAGCCTTTTTTAATTTTATTTTATGATTTTCCTTTAACTAAAAAAAATTCCGCCAAGGTAGAGCCCATCATATCACTCCGTCCGACAGATTATATGTGGCGATTCGACAGCACTCTCGCACTTAACGTGCCACCCACGCGCTGCTCTCTTCCTTTCTCCATATTTGAGCTTTCTCTAAATAAATATAACAATTATAATATTTTTGTCATCAAAAAATTAAATAGTAAAAATAAAATTATATAAGTAATGAATTAAAAAAATATATAAATATATATTATTATTAAAAATAAAAGATAAATCTTATTAATATATAATGATAAAATTATGACAACACATTGATAATTAATTTTTTAACTAAATAATTGATTTTATTCTAACCCAAACGCGATATATTTGAAAAAAATATTATAAAAATAAATAAAAATATTTATAAATTTGTAAAATTAAAAAGAATATTAAATGATATAAAAATTCAAATATATATAGTATAATTTTAAGAATTTGAAAATGAAAAAAAGAGTGAAAGAATGAATATAGAGAAATAAAAAGAATTGATGGCTAACCTTCCTACACGACCTTGCTTCCTATTGTTAACAAGACATCCCAAAAAACTTAGTTAGGGATGCAAGAGTGAGTTACACTCGTGTGAAGTGAAAGTGGTGAAGAACCGAAGTGTCGTAGAATATTTATTACTAGTTTGTTTTGGTTTATAGCGTGGCTCCTTGAATGTTGAAAAGTTGAAACCATGATTTTGGAAGTAAAAACAACTGCTGCATCCCCTGAACCCTGAAAACCAAGCGGCCACCGCCTACTGCTTTTTTGTTTTTTTTATTTATAATTTTTTCTTCTTCGTTCTTCCCTTAAATACTCATACTGCTCTAGATTCTTATCCTCCTGTTTCCCATCTTATTTTCTCGTACACAAATCCAGACATCAAATTTTCTGATTTGATATCGATTTCAAATCTTTTCTCTTGCCTTGTGTGTTTCTCAAAACGTTTTCAAAATGCGAATGAGTTGCAATGGATGCCGGGTCCTGCGCAAAGGCTGTAGCGAAAACTGCAGCATTAGGCCTTGTTTGCAGTGGATCAAAAGCCCTGAATCCCAAGCAAACGCCACTGTTTTTCTTGCCAAGTTTTACGGCCGTGCTGGCCTCTTGAATCTCATCAACGCCGGCACCGAACACCTCCGTCCTGGTCAGTACTCTTAAATATTTTTAGATTATGGAAAATATGATGTGTGGACTAACGGTTTGTTCTTTTAATCTTCAGGGATTTTTAGGTCGTTATTATACGAGGCTTGTGGGCGGATTGTGAACCCCATTTATGGTTCAGTGGGATTGTTGTGGTCTGGGAATTGGCAGCTTTGTCAAGCCGCCGTCGAAGCAGTGCTGAAAGGATCTCCGATCACACCTATTGCTTCGGAAGATGCGGTGGATGGTCAAGGGCCGCCTCTTAAAGCATTCGACGTTCGTCATATTTCTGTAGAAGACAACTTCGCGGCCTCCAACAATGTTGATCGTGTAAAGAGTCGTTGCCGAGTCAAGAGAAGCGTGAAGCGGAAGGTGGACAAGAAAGCGATAAAGGAAGAGAGCCGAAACGCAGAAGCCAAATCCGAACCGCTTTACTGTAGTGACGAGGGAAACCGATCGACGAGCCACGAGTCTTCGCTGAGCCATCAGTCCGAGTTGGCGGTTATGGATGGGGAATGTAAAGAAACCGAGAGCATGATCTCGGAGGAAACGGCGCTGGCGTCGCGGCTGTTTCCGGAGGAGCCGGAGTTCGGAGGTAAGGTTTCCAACGAGGAATGTGGAGACGTTAGGCTGGAGTTGACGTTGGGAATTCGACCGGGCGCGTGTGACGTGGTGGTGCCGGTGAAGAAACGGAAATTGGAGGCATATGACACGTGTGAGAATAATCGCACGTGTATAGTTGAGTTGGGGCTTTCTTATCCGGCTTAAAAGAAATCTTCTGGTCCTGTTTTGGCGGCTCGGTTTCGGGCCTTTTTTTAAAAAAAAATCTTTTACATAGAAGAGGGAAAAATGTGAGGTGTAGAAATGTGGGATTACATGAATAGAAATTGTACATTTATTAAAGGGTAAGTTTTTAATATCTAAATTATCAAGATAATTTATGGTTTGTTTTAGTATTGAAATTCTATTTTTTTATTTAAAGTTCTAATTTTTTAAAAATCATACATTATGTTTATTTTTTATTTATATTAGTATTTTATTATTAAATTAAAAAATTAACCGATAAATTTTAGTAAGGATGGATCGAGGAACGGGTGGGATAGTCGTCCCTAAAAATTTAAAATTACTATATATTTTAATTTTTTTTATGTATTTTCTATTAAAAATCTATTGTGGCCTCTCGAAATTTTAAAAATTCAAGTTCATCCCCTAAGTTTAAGTTTGTTCGTCTAATATAAAATTATATGCCTGTCTTTCGGTTCACGACATTACATCCATCGGTAGATGAATGTGAATTTTTCAACCTATACCTTTTTTGGATACTCTGAACGCGATTCTAACTTTCATTTCACCGAAAAATACTTTAATCTCTCTAAATTGAATATGGACTTTTCGATTTCTTTACCTTCGATCTCTATCGTTAACTGTCATATAGATTTGAACTATATTGACTGACTCGTCTTTCTCTCGTGATCCACCATTTGAATAGATCATCCGTCCACTGGAGTATGTCTTGTAAATCTATCTATTAAATATTTAATAGCTAATGTACTAAAATGAAACAAAATACGAATGTTGCGTATAGTTTACCCTTTATTAAATAGGTTAATCTACAGTCGCCCCCCATTTCATTCAGACATGAGTCTAGCTATGAGGCAAAGGGATAGTAAGATAACCCTATTTCAAGTACTCGATACATTCCTGATACAGGGACGACACAAAAATAATTGGGATATGTATCAGGGAATATCATGGTGACGGATATGTCTAAATGAACACGGAACCATTTGATGCTTACTTGATGACATTTCAAGGAGGATATATAACTATCACATAAGTCCCCATAAGTAATTTTAACATTTTTCATTGAAAAATTAAAAAAAGTCCCGCACAAAACCTTATTTTCATCATTCATAGGTTTATTGGCATCCTTGATTTGGCATCGTTTCAAGTACACAGCTTTTTTGTATGCTAACATCTTTGCAGTTTTTAAGAGCAGAATCAAGTTGATGTTTTATTTTCTAATAAGTTCATACATTCAAGTAGTGTACTATTTATCTTTGAACAGATATTACCATGTACTTATCCTATATTATATTAAAAAAAAGAATTCATAGATTCTATTTGCACATATTATATATCAAGTTGATGGTTTTGTTTTTTTTTCTCTAAAAAAATGTTTATTTTTTTAAAATATTCTATCTCTATATTTTATGATTTTTACATCTATTTATAATTTTAAATTTTTTATATACCGTACCATTATCATCTTCGTATCTTGTAATTTTAAAATTTATTGTTTTCCATCCCGTATCTGTATCACTGCCGTATAGGAATATAGCGCCCAAAACAAAATCGAAGCTAAAACCCCAAACCCAATTACCTATAGGGATGGGCAAATAATCTGTATCTAACCCGATCCAATCTGATATGGTCAGATTTTTTAATTTAAAATTCTGGTTCAGGTCGGGTCGGTAAAAAATAACTGACCCGACTCGACCTAGAATAATTAATATATGTTATCAATATATTTACAAAAATGTCATTATATATATGTCATGTAGGGTTATTTTTTTATCTCTTATCCCTTCAGCCGTTTCAATCTCTCTTCTCACCCTTCCTTATTTCCCCGTTTAATTCTCTCTTTTTACCATTTCCTTACTTCTTCCGGCCTCCTAACTTTTTTTCTTTTCCTTTTCTTTTGTATTTTCATTTTCAAAATCAAGGTGATCTGTAGGTTGAGGATCTGGAAAATCATGATGTTACAATGAATCCTAATGAAAGAGTTGTTGTTCATCTACGTGCTATCAGAGATCATCTAAATCCCATTTTGGATGATTTGAACTCTGTTATTATAGCTCTCGAGATTCAGATAGCATAATTTGAGTTAAAGCTTGTTATGTTCAATATGTTGAACTCGATATGACAATTTGGAGGCATGCCGAATGAAGATGCAAGGTAACATATTAGAGCTTTCTTGGAAGTTTGCGACTCTTTTAGATAGCAAATAGTACAATGTAGATGTATTAAAGCTCAAGCTATTTCCCTACTCCTTGTATGGAAGAACACGAGCATGGTTAAGTGGTGTTCCATATGGTTCAATGGAATCATGAGAAGACTTGTGTAAGAGTTTCTTGTTACGTTACAACCTACCAAACATGAATACTCAACTAAGGAATGACATCGCATGCTTTCCCCAAGCGGATGATGAATCCATGTACAAATATTGGGATTGATATAAGGGGTTGTTGTGCAAGTGTACAAATCATGGGTTTCAAGATTGGACATAAGTGGCTATGTTTTATAATGGTGTTAATGGCCATACAAGAATGATGCTTGATGCTTCAACAAATAGAACTTTGTTGGATAAATCTCTGAAGAGGCCTTCGATATCTTATATAGAATCACGAATAATGATTATCAATTCCTTTCTTCAAGGCTTGGAATAGAAATGAGACCTCAAGGAACTTTTAAATTAGATACTTATGATTCTGTTTCAGCTCAGTTGTCCACTATCACCAATATGCTGAAGAATTTGCAACGCAAAAATGAAGTAAAGAAGGCCAAGGTTGCGAGTTTTTCTTGTGTTCTATGTTGTGGTAACCATTATATAAGAGCTTTCGAGAGATAACCTTTATCTTTATTTGATGCTTGATATCGAGAGTGTAACACCCCCAACCTGTACTCGATGTGGATACGAGTCCGCAGTGTCACGGTGACTTTTTAAACTTTGACTCTTAAAGAAAATCAAGGAAATTTTAAACTTTCATTCAAATAAAAGTTGTTAACTTACACAAGTTGACCAGAATAATACAAAATCAATAAGAGCATTCGTAATTAAAAAATTATTTACATGCCAACTCACTAGATACAATAAAACACATACTTTGTCAATTACTTCTGATCTGATCTTCTAGTAGTGATGTTGTCCTTGCAACTCCTAACTCTGATCTTCTTCTTGTTTCTTGGTACCTACGTTTAAACCATTTACACGATAAGTCATAGACTTAGTGAGGCATAAATAAATATATAACGATACATTCATGAACATGCACTACTATCAATCAATCATAACATTACAATATACATGTATCTACTAAACTATAACATATATGACTTTGATATGCATATATGACTTTGATATGCATATATGAACTTTAACTTCACATAAGAGTTTTCAATCAATTTATCTTTGGATGCCCATGTACATTATTGAGAACAGGAGGTACGTGTGTACATTGAGGTTGTGCACGAATACAATCACCACAGCTCGAATAAATTGCCACTATGGGCACCAAAAATTTATCTCGGATGACCACTGATAATCCCTCAACTCTTGGCATGCCAATTATACCTACAACTCTCATATCATATAACATGGGCTTAATTATAAGTATCTGTCACATTTCAAATCACTTATATATTTCTCATATAAACTCATCATATGCACATATATGATCCTTTGATGATATCATTCATCACATATAGTGTTATATTAAAGCATGGATGAATTATGCATGTAATAACTATAACCTTAATATATATATATATATATATATATATATGCATGTACATGAATTTGAAATCATGAATTCAACTATAAGAGATAGACTTATCGCAAGTCTTATCTCCATACAACTTTATTTAGGATATGCACTCACCTTAGCCTTGCTTGAATTGAGTCGATTCTAATTCTTTGATTGTTCTGGAATAGAATTACGTTAAATATCTACATAATTATACATTGATACATATCAGTATTCCAAATGGCATACTCTAATCTTTCATTTCTTAAATTAAAAGAAACGCTAATTTTATTTCTTGTTTAAAATAGGTATCAGTACCCTCTATAAGGTATTGGTACATTCCTTAACTGAGGTATCGATACCCTGCCTAGGTATTGATACCCCTATTACATTCTGTAAATTATTCATTTCAAGGGGGTATCAATACCATCCTTAGGGTATTGGTACCCTTTGAATGCCTTTCTAAATTTACTCTTGAGGTATCGGTACCTGTTGAATGGTACTGATACCCCTTGCCCATAAATCACTTTTTTAGCCTGAAAGTTTACTCAATTAAGCTCAAATGCTTTATATTTCACCCTCTTACATATACTTAACTTACATACACATGCTTAAACCCATTAATACTCATCTAATACATCCTTAACTTCAAAATCCAATCATCTACATAGAATTCAAGAATAACACCAAATTTGTAACATGTTCTAATTCCAATTCTAACACTTCATATTTCTTAGTTAGGTTGATGACAAGTTAAATTTAACTTCCAATTCTAATTATAAACTCTATTCCAAGTTTTTACTAAAGAACTCAACATTTTTAATCCCTCCTAACTCCATCATCCTTTGATTTTAAGATAACTTAAGCTTTCTTTAAGCTTAATTATCATCTAATGATCATAAACCAACCTTAAATTCAACAAGAAATTAATTAACCAGAAAACTCACCTTTGTTTTTGGGGCCTTCACGTACAAAGAAGAAAGGAGAAAAAGAGAACTCTGGAAACTGGAACTTTGTCTCTTCTTCACCTCCACGAGTACCTAATATAAACCCATCAAAATTTAATTATTTCTTACCCAAAAGACTATTTTGTCTTTCAATTACTTCTTCTTTGCAATTCAATCATATACCAAATTTATAATATAAATCCTTAAACTATTTAATTATTCTACTGTAGTCACCAAATTCTGAAGTTTTACAATTTAGTCACTAACCCGATATTGGGGATGTTACAAATCTCCCCTTAAGAAAATTCGTCCTTGAATTTTCATTACTCAAAGAGATTGGGGTACTGATTCCTCTTGTACTCTTCACGCTCTCACGTTGCTTCATCTACCTTATGATTCCTCCACAAGACTTTTACCAATGAGATAGTCTTGTTCCTTAATTGCTTAATCTCATGAGCTAAAATTTATACCGGTTCTTCC